GATAAGTGATGTGTTATATATTATCTAACCAGGCAAACGGCTCGTATGGTGTCTTCTTCTTGCTCTGTCTTCTTCCCTGTGGAGAAACCCAGACACATAAGAAAGAATAGTAGGAACTTCCTGGCTGGGTTTTTACTTGTGTTTGTTCCTGTGGTTCCCATAGCAAGAAGGGTCAAGGGTCACCTTGTTTAACAGTAACTGATTAAACAAATTTCACTTTGGCATTCTTGCCACACAGGTGGAAAAAAACACAGCAGAAGTACAGTGTTGGTTTTATGGCTCAGATTAGATGGTTTTTTTATGTTGAAAGCAGAACATGGAACTCAAAGTGGTGTCACAGCTGTGAAAACACACCCTATCACACCACTGATAAACTCTGAGAAGGGCTGGACAACTAAACATCTGCAGCCGATCACATCTTCACACAGTACTTGTTTTATGTTTAACTAAATACTTCTCTCTATCAAGTTTAAAACAACTTTTTGCCCGTCTTTAATTTTCACGCCGTTAACAATTTACCCTTAATTTATTATTCTAACTTGAAAAAACAAAAGAAAAGGGATCAAGATGATCAAGTGTGATGCATTCAAAGCAAACAGACGTTGCAGTTCTGTAAGTGTGAATCCAGGCTTCGTAAAGGTCGACCGCAGCCTCTCTGTCTCCACAGCAGTGTGACCATCCACTGAGGAAGGCGATGTTTCACAGTGACTCCCTTTTCTGGAGAGATGACCAGTGTAAACCTCGTCTGGGCTCTGTGCTGACAGGCGGATGGTTGTGCGTTGCCAGGCTGCCTGGTTCACAGCTGTAGGCAGCTCGGCCTTGGCTCTAAGATGTGGTTTACAGTTGGCTCGGACCCAGATCTTTGTGGTTGAGGTGGCTGTATGTCTACACCTGTACACCTGGGTAGGTTTGTGCCACATTATGTTGGCTCAGGAGGTAGCACGCTCGTTTCCCAATCAGAAGGCTGGTCGCCCGAGTCCTGGTCTCCCCACTCCACATATCAAAGTGTCTTTGGGCAAGACACTGAACCCCCAGGCCCCTGGTGGCCCCTGGTGGCCCCTGACAGCGCCACCATCAGTAAGAAATTTTCCCATGGAGATTAATAAAATGTAACAAATAAATATATCCTGTACTTTCATGATGTAAAATGAACAAAACGTGTCCAGAGGAGTTGGATATGTCATTACGCTTGGGGAGGCAGTGAGGGGTTATAACATACTAAGTTTATATTCAGGCCTGTTTCCATTGGTGGAGAATGTCCTGCTATTATTCAGGTCCCCCAAGAGAACACTGTTGATGAGATGGTCTCACAAAAATACCTTGTGGAACATTTCTGTGTTATTGCCCATGTCTAGTGAGGGGTTATTGCACATATATTCTCACATTTGCCACATTTTGGTATTTGCCATCAGTCTTACTGAGGCAGGGAGAAAGCTGTTGTAAAGTCTAGTTCTGTGTGTGATGATACCGTCTGCCCTGCTGTGCCTGAGGCTGTACGTGCAGTTTCTGTGTCTGAGCAGAGAGTGAGCTGGGAGGAGTTTTCCAGTAAAGTTTTGATGTAATACTCCCAGTTAGCACAGAGCTGAAGGTAACACAGTCTGCTACAGCAGTTCTGTGAAACATGCTCAGGTTGTGTTGAGACTGTTTTAGAGCAGTGTTGATTTTGGAAGATGAAGCCTGTGCTGGTGTTGAATGGTACCGAGTTTACATTGACAGGTGTTTCTAATATTTTGCCCACCATAGTTCAGTCAGTGAGACTAGGCTTTTGTTTTTGCTTAGTGTGCCACATACACTGTCAAATGACTTTCAGCATTAGTGGCTTTTGTTGGGGGCTTGAGACCGTTTCACTGAGATGTTCACTGGACTCAAACACTGCTGCTGCACTGTGTGGGAGAACCCACGTTGCTTCCTCAGCCTCTTCTTCCATGTCTGGCACACGCAGTCAGCTGAGATCTGAATGCCCTCATCTTATCCAGACATAACTAGTGGTCGACAAATTAATGGGGACTACAGATGATCACAACTCAAAGTGGCCGATTCAAGCACTGAACCGGCCAATAATCAGCCTCCAGGGGAGATCGGTCATGGCTACAACACAGCTCCGTGCTTCATCATATCCAGCGCCAGTTGTAAAGTTTAAGTGTGGAGGTCCTTTAATAAACGTTTGTGAATGAAATAGATTCTTTATTGTTGATGATTTTCCTTTCTGGAACATTAGAAGTTGATCTTTTAAACCCACATCATCGTTCCTTTCTTCTGTGAATGCGTTGAGGAGAAAAAGCAGCGTGAAACATGAACAATAAAGCCAATTCTTTCTTCTACTTTTGGCTGTTCCCATTAGGAGTCGCCACAGCGAATCGTCTGTCAACAACCACACACACCCACATTCGCTCCTATGAGCAATTTAGAGTCATCAATCAACCGAAAGCTGTCTTTGGACTGTGGAGGGAAGCCGGAGTACCCAAAGAAAACCCATGCAGGCACAGGGAGAACATGCAAACTACGCACAGAAAGGGCTCAAACCCAGAACCTTCTTGCTGTGAGGCGACAGTGCTAACCACCACACCGCTGTGCCGCACACTAATGCTAGTTCTTTAATAGTGTAAACTATGATAAGCCTGTTCGTGTAGCAGATTGTCTGTCAAGAATCTCTGATGGTAGTTGAACATAATAATTAGTTTGTTTCTCTTTTAAAAGTGTGAACATGTGACGTTAGCTGAGAGTGTTTCATGGCAGAAGCTATGACACCTTCCATTTTAAGGCAGTGAATTGACTGAGTTGATGAGGAAGAACCAAAGCACCACCCAGAGAGCAGTTCTGGAAAAGCATGATGCGGATTAGCTGCGTCTCAGGAAGATGATGACAGCAGCCTTTTGAGGCCGAGCTTCAGCCTGTTTAGAGAGTGTGGAGCCATGTGTTCTCGGTCTGTTTCTATCTGCTTGGTGATTGAAATGCATGGAGTCGCTCAACATCATCGATGCTTAGAGGTCAATTTTAGTCCTCTGAACATCTGTGGGGTTGATTGCAGCTGTAGACATCATCATCGAGTTTCCTCTAAACAGAGTTCCTGCTGGGTTGTAGAGTTAACACCGTACTGATTGGCTGATTTAGTGAAGAGACAGGAGTCCGGTACCTTCCTGATTATACACCGAGGTCCTGTTTTTAAATGAGACTCATCTAAACTGTAATAAGGTTTGTTCCCTCCTTGCTGCAGCGCTGTTTCTACTGCTCGCTGTGCCTCTGTGTGGATGCAAATATGTGTTTTAACAGAATACAAGGCCAACATCCCAGCCAGACAGGGTTTCTCCACTTTAAGGAATAGTTTAATATTGATTTCTGTTTAGCCTGAAGAATAATTGCATCAAATTCAATGAGTCAGTTTCTTTGAAAAAATGAAGAGGTGAAATTTGACAGCGATTGAAAACAAGTGATGAAGACCTACAGTGGAAACAGACTTTTTCCCTTTATGGATTATATTTTATAAAGTTGCCATTTTTGCCCATCAGTAATGGCAAAGTGAAGACCTGTTCAGTGATTTTTGTTTTGTCTCTGCAGGTCTCCTGGTAGGAGCGCTGGACACAGTGCTGGACTCCAACGCCAGGGTCACACCCTTTCGCATCCTCCTCCAGGTTCCTGGCTCCCAGGTCAACTGGGTAATCGCCAGCGGTGAGTCTCCACCTCCCCCGTCTTTACTCTGGCTCTCTCGTGTATCATTTTGGTGTTTTGTCTGTGCGCTTTCTGTTTTTTTTTTTTTTGTGATCTGCGGTTTGGGTTGACCTGAGACAGTTTCCATGTTTTTCTGTCTCCTGGACTTGCTCAGTATAAGTGCCTGCCCTGTTTTGTCTATATGTCCGTCAGGAGCTGCCATCGAGGAGGTGAATAAGCACTGGGACTGGCTGGTGCACAACCTGCTTCACTCTCTGTCTGTGTTTGAGAACAAGGAGGATGCTGCCAGCTTCGTCAAAGGAAAAGTCAAGGTGAGAAGCCGGTGCTGCCGTGAACACTGTCAGAGCACGAGTCCAGATTCTGTGTTGACCGAGCGTTCCCTGTGGACTTGAAAAAGGATTTAAGGCATTTGTTGGCTCTCAGTCAAGTCGTTGCAAAGTGCACTGATGTAATGAGCGCAAGGTCCTTCCTGTGCAGGGTCTTATTGCAGAGGAGGTACGGGGGCGTCAGGCCGCCCAGGAGGAGGACCCAGAGAAGTTCAGGGAGGTGCTGTTGAAGTTTGAGCTGCGCTTTGGTCTCCCGTCGTCCGAGAAGCTGGTGACGTGCTACTCCTGTTGCTGCTGGAAGGGCCGGGTGCCTCGGCAGGGCTTCCTCTACCTCAGCATCAACCACATGGCCTTCTACTCCTTCCTGCTGGGAAAGGAAGGTCTGTTACATCAAAATGAGGGCTCTGATTTTTAGTCAGTTCCACTGTATACTGTCAGTGTAAATGTTGAACAAATACATGCTTGGATTTTACTTGGAGGTCAACTTAACAGTAACTTTAAAGGGATACTTCACTGAAAACCTGTTATTGGGGCAACAAATACTTCCATGATTTTGGTTTGAAAAGCAGCTCTAGAAGGTTTGGAACTTGCTCCTGTGCAGAGGACTGTAACCCAGAAGTCACCTTCATCTGAAAGAGAACGTTGGCTGTGGTGTTTCCATCCCTGTGGTGAAAATGTTGAAGAAAATAAATAAGTGAACAAAGAAATACAGGGAGCTTTTGGTAGGATCATTGGTTTAAAATTCAGTTGGAGCAAATACACTACATTCTACATTATTCTCTTCTTTCTTTTCCAGTTAAGTTTGTGATTCCTTGGGCAGAGGTGACGCGGTTGGAGCGGGTCTCCACTGGTCTGATGACGGAGGCCATCAGGGTCAACACACGGCGGCGTCAAAGGGAGTTCTCCATGTTCTTGAACCTGGACGAGGCGTTCGGGGTCATATGTCAGCTGGCTGACATCGCCCTCAGGCGGCTGCTGGATAGTGAAGGCCTGGAGCTGGACCGAGTCCTTCAGCAGCCAACGCGCATCACCAAGAGGTCAGGGCTGCTCATTCTCAGTCGGAATGGGTTACAGAAATGGTCCGGCACAGTTTCCCCCCAGTCTGAAGTTGGAAAGGTGGGTGGGGGCTTTCCAAAGTCAGTCGACCATAGAACAAGTAGTTCTGAAGAAGCAGACTGGCAGCTTGACAATGTCCTAACCTAGAATAATGTACGATGACATGGCGTGTTAGTTGCTTGGCAACAGCAGCTGTAAAACGGGTTTGTTTCTGAGGTTTATGGCATTTTTATAATTCTTAACACATGGCTGATGCACTGTGTCCTGTTCTTTAATTATTTTAGTTAGTTAATTAGTTAATTCTGTCTGTGTAAAAACCTCAAGGCCAACACAGGAAATCAAGTTGAACGTAAACCATCACAGCTGCTCTGCTGCCTACTCACACAACAGTTTTATATAGTGTTGGTTTCTGTGAATAGCAAATGTATTTTGGGATTATCAGTTGGTGGGAGTGATCTGAGGGTGCACAAGTTGAGAAATGAGAACTGAAAAAGGAAGAAGAAAACTTGACAAGCAGATGAGATGGGCTGCTGAACATGAAATGACAGTAAG